TCCAGGAGGCATCCTGACCAGATGCCCGAGCCACCTCAACTGGCTCATCTCGATGTGGAGGAGCAGCGGGTCTACTCCGAGCCCCTCCTGGATGACCGAGCTTCTCACCCTATCATTAAGGGAGAGTCCAGCAACTCTTCTGAGACCGGTACAACGCCCGCATCACTGCAGATGCAGCACCAATCCATCTATCGATCTCACGCTCCAGTTTTCCCTCACTCGTGAACAAAACCCAGAGATTCTTGAACTACTCCACTTTTATTTTCCTCCACTGGAGGGAAAGATCTAAAACCTCTTTTCTGTAGCCTTGCCCCAAGTACACTCAACCTAAGCTGGAGGAGTTCACATAAGTAAGTACGAGCAAGTCCATTTAAACATTTGTAAGCTGAAACCAAAATCTTAAACTGCGCACAGAACTTAACTGGGATCCAATGCAGAGAGGCAAGAACCGGAGTAATATGATCAAACCTACATGTGCCAGTCAGGAGACGAGCTGCAGCATTCTGAACTAGCTGCAGCCTAGCAATACATATACATTTAGGGAGCCTAAAGGTTGGTTTATGCTTGACGCGTCCGCGAGGTCCGCACGGCTCCGCGCGGAAAAGTTGCGTAATTTTAACAACCACGCCCCTCCACCGCGTCTCCGCACGGCCCAAGATTTCCGCAACGCGCACCTCGGAAAATTTCTAACCACGCGGACGGTCGGACGCGGAAAAACATGGCGGACCGGCACGGCAGAGGTTGGTAAATACAGACATTTGTATGATTCAGCTCTCAGAGATCACCGTGATCAACATGTTGTTAATAATTCTTGGAGAGAAATAGCTCGCACTGTCGGAAAAGACGAGAACGCTGTTAAAAATGCTGAAATGCCATGTTGTAAACAGTAATTTCTACTTCTACTATGGTGTAGTGTTGGATGCATGCCATAGAGCTCCATGCTGCCCCCTACAGTTTGGGAGAATATTGGCTCACCGCAGAGACGAGCCGCATGAACCATAAACGCTGCGAGTTGTGAAGCGCGTTCCATCCGCGAGCCGCATCACCGCGCGGAAAGTGAATGCGTTAAGCATAAACCAAGCTTAAGTCTCTTCCGCATCAGGGGTCCCTGGAAAAACGAATGCAAGTCAACGGGGCTAAAAACGCTATTTTCTAACCCGCTGTGCCTTAGACCCTGGATCCCACATGTGTTGTACTGCAGTTTAAATGAAAAGTAATGATGGGTGTTTTGACCATGCCAGTCACGTACTTTGAGATTTATTAGCTTGTAAAGGTTCATCATTAGCAGGACTACACAACAGAAATTGGATCGTCGCATATGTGACGTCACCACATAATCTCGTCCACCCTAGCGTAGCTGCTACTTACCACATGACCAGATTTATGGTGGTTCTTTCCTCCTGTGGGAAGTTTGCTGAACTTACAGCCCTTCTCCCTCAGTTTTCTCCGTGTCTGAGTCAATGACGTCACTCTGGTGAAGCACATTTGTAGTCCTGGACTCATTTTCACACAAAACCTAAAACAGCATTTCCCCCAATTGAAACGAAGCACGTTCTTCGTATCAAAATGCATCTTTAAAATTCACGGACATCATAAGTGAAATCCATGGAATAAAACGAGCGCAATTAGAAAATAGTGTTTTTAGCCCCGTTGACGTGCATTCATTTTATCGTTCTTCTGGGGACACATTGCGTGGAATAGGTGGGCGTGACTTAGACTCCCTATACATACATGATAGGAACGGTTCAGTAGCGTACTGTTGCAGGGGGTCAGAGAAAGCTGTGAGTGACAGCGGGTGCGACCTGTCACGGACCGGAGCAGCGAGACAGAATTCACGGCAAAAGTTTAGATATTGCAGCGATCTGTGACAGAACGTTACTTGTCATTAGTTTAGCAGGTTTTTGTGCATGAAGGAGGAGGAGGACTAATGCACAGCAGAAACATCAACCGTTTAGCCAGAAGACGGGAAAAAGAGACCCACAGCACGAAGTCTGACACCAATGTGAGGGTTTTAAAAAAGAAGCTTCTTCTTTGAGGAAAATGAGTTGGGTCATTAGTATTTTTATCTTTTGGTTAGCGGTCTGCTAGGTGACGGGATGACGTAGTGTGTCCAGCTGGAGCGACACGTTGCGCAGTCTGCCTCACTGAAATCTAGTGCCGTACAATGTGAATGTCCCAGATTTAAACCCAGTGGGAGTTTCCCCCCGAAACTCTGGCTGAATAGGACCCACACCCACCCTCAATGTGTTTATGTAGAAGATCATCGGGGGGTCTTTTGTTCCCACTGGGTTTGAATCTGGGACTCTCCACCATTTGACCTTAGAACTGAAGAAGCCTCTCGGATGAGAGGTGAAACGTCTTCAAGCAACTCAAAGAAGTCCAGACGCTTTTCTTTCAAGCTCCTTAGACCACTTGAGGCTTACGTCATCACTTTTAAATTAGTCTCTGTAATACCGAACACCGTGGTAAAATGTGGAGGAAGTTGGACGGTATTAAAATTTGGATACTGCCCAAGCCTAATGTGGTGTGAGAGAGAGACCCGAAGGACACGGTTTTGTTACGTACCACTCCTTCACCGTCACCTCCATGATCCCCTCCCCGATGTCCGACAGCTTGAACTGGACGATGGGTCCTTGCCACACTGGAGACACACGAGGGACAAGAGAATGAGAACTTTATTTTCCCGGGGTAAACACTTCCGTCGTGGACGTGCTCCGTGCAACAACAAGGCTAGGCACAAGACAGTAAAATAGTGGTTTAAAAACAGAATCATTTGTAATAATCTAGAAGGCAGCATGTAATAAACAAGATGCAGAAAACAATCACCTCCAGGAGGATGAGCTATAGTCTTATATCGCTACGGGCCTGAGTGATAGACTACAGTCAGCCGTTTCCTACAGAGATTAAAAGATCCCAGACTCCTCAGTAGGTAAAGCTAACTCTGCCCTTTCTTGTATGCTGCCTCCATTTTCCTGGACCAGTCCAGTTTACAGTCGCCCAGGTACTCCACATCTGTTCCTGATGGTGCCTGAGGTGGAAGGAGGAGCCTGCTTCCTGAGGTCCATGACAAGTTCTTTTGCCTTCATGGTGTTCAACTACAGATGGTTCAGCTCACACTACTCTACAACGCTGTCACCACACTTCTGACCCTCTCTGATACAGGCCACAACGGCAGTCAGAGAACTTCTGCAGGGGGCATGACTGAGACCTGTACCTGAAGTCAGATGTAAGGGTGAAAAGGAAGGGTTACAGGACAGTTCCCTGATGTCTGGATGTTGTCCAAGCGGCAGGTCTTCAGCCAGACATGTTGTGGTCTGTCCGTGGTTAAATAGTCCCTCATCCAGGCAACCAGCTATTCGATGCATTTCTGTGAGCTAAAGCTTATTTCCCAGCAGTGACGGTCTGATTGTGTTGAAAGCCTGGTCCAGCAGGTAAATGAGAGCCCCCCCCACCACCACCACCACCAAGACGAGGCTATTGACCCTTTGAACGTGACATCACGCCACTCATGTGGCCGCCCCCTTCGCCATGATGGACGGCAAAAAGACCGTTTACACCCGTAGAAGCTCCAGTGAAGCTAGTCAAAACAAGCCAGTTTGTAGCCTTTTATGGCTTTTATTGAGTTGATGTGACAGTAAAATGGTTTCAGCTTGCTGCGTGGTCGGCTGCACTGAGAGACAAGGACGTAAACTCAACTCGTTTCGTTTTTGATAACTTTGATGGAGACTGATTGATCGCTGCAGTTCATCTCTGTCCTCAGTCGGACTAGCAGGCCTCAGATTAGCAGCGAACATGCTTTTAGCGGGTAAGATTAACGTTCATTTATTCCACGAGGAAGACAGGGACAGGGATAAATGTGATGTGTTTATACTGGTTATTGATAATCCTGATGGACGGGTGTTTCACCACGGAGGCTGCGCTCCGTCCACTCTAGTGTAAAGAGAGACGATTATTAACAATATTAAAGCTCCGATGTATGGTTACGTGTTAAAATGACGTTATTTATTTATTTATATGAGCGTCGGCGTTCAGAGATCTTCTCATTCCGGTGTGAGAGCAGCAGCTGAACCCGGTAACACCACCAGTAACAGAAGCTGGTAGGGATCCGGACTTTTAACAATCAGCTTTGGTGTAAAGTGAAACGCTGTTTACATGCTTTTGCCGTCCACCATGGTGCACCCACGTGATTAGGTGACATCGGTGAAAAGGGTCAATTAACTCCCCAGCCCTGCCTTCATCCAAAGCCCGGATCACACACTGCCATTTTTGCCCATCTTCGCCAAATCCCTCGTCCTGAGCAGAATCGTGACACAAAATGGTCAACGTCAGGGTGATTTGCATATCTGTGCACCACGCTGTTAATGTACAGTGTGACCGGCTCTGCAGCAGCTTTTTGAGCCGTCTCACTACAAAACCAGCCTCAAAAAGTCTTCAAGCCAGGGGCGGCGTTAGGCCCGGCTACTTGGGCTGAAGCCCCGGATCTAAATCGTGGAAGTAACATGCAGTACCAAAGTCCACCAGAGAGGGAGCAGCTGGCAGTAGTTTGTATACAGCCTGCCTGAGCCTCCACCACTGAAGAAGAAGCCCTTCAGCAGCCGGCTTCTTCTACACTCTCTGCCTGAAACGCATGAGTGAAGATGGACATAAGGACGTTTTTAGACCAAAAGTACGGCGACAGAACCCCAGCTTTGATGAGACTGGTGCTGACTCAGGTTTGTGAGTCTTATTTGAAAATATTTGTTGTGTTGCTGGTTTGCCTAAAGTTAGCTTATCAGGTAAAGTTGTTGGAGAAAGAACGGGAATATTTACTATCATCTCACACTAAACACTAACAGGAACTATGCTCTGTCCTGAATATGCTGAATATGTAGCTTCAGATTAAAATCTATGTGGTACAAGACATATATGATGTTGACTAGTGCGCGCGCGCGTGTGTGTGTGTGTGTTAAGCCCCGGATGTTCTTCAGTCCTTAATCTGCCCCTGCTTCAAGCACTGGTTGTAAACCTACGACTCCAGTCTGCAACCAACCAATGAAAACACACCTTTGGGACTCAGCAGCAGCAAAGCTCCACCTCTCTGAGCTTTAGTTGCAATTTATTTTTAAAATGGGGACAATAAAGTACACACCAGTTTTTATTTCTGTTAACAGTCCAAGTTAAACCGGAGTTATACTAAAATAATTAACATACAATTTGTACACCATCAGATAAATTATGAAAACTGTGATTCTGTGATTGCTGAGAGGAGATGAGTTCACAAACATAAAAATTCAACACAAAAACCGGAGATCCCTTTGCTGTTGGTGGAAATCTCACATATTCAGCCGATAAGGACGACTCCGTAGCGCTATGCTGCAGAGGGACGAGGAAGCAGCTGTGATGAGCTGACGGAGCTGCGGAGTAGTGAGACAGAATTCACGGCACAAGTTTAGATATTGCAGTGATTTGTGACAGACTGTTACTTCTCTGTAGCTAAAGCCGGGCGGACACTGTGCGACTTTTCCACTCGTAGCACTCAGCTTCAGCTCAAACTGTACGACTTCCTCACAGGGCAGATCTCACGAGTCATGTTCACACTGTACGTCTGGTAGCAACACGTCGGCCCTAAAAATGTGCTAAAAATAGCAGTTTTTACTCAACACGTCAGACTTTTTTGTCTTGCCTGTTGTCCTTCGGGAGCGGTTGGACGAGGAAAACGAAATAAAGAAAGTAAATCTGTGTTTTGTGATCAGTTTAATTTGACATGAACACGACAAACACGCTTTCTTGACAATCCTTGTGAGTAAAAAAACGGGTAGAAACAAAAACGAACAACGTGTGTTATTAGGGAAATAGCGGGGAGCGGTGTTGATGCAGGATTGCGTATGCGCCGTGAGCGGTTCTGGTACATTTTGGGTCGCAGCTGCTCGCAGCGCCACTTCAACAGTGCGATACCCTCACGAGGGACGAGCGAAATATTAAACACGCCAGAAGTTCTAAACTAGCACCCTCCCTGCACCTGTCCCCCTCTCTACTGTCCACTCCTTGTTCCCTCCTCTCCATGATTGATGTCAAGTTGTTGTTATTGTTATTGTTGTTGTTGATGTTGTTGTTGTTAGCCTCAAAGGCATGCCAATTATCCCTTGTAAGTTGCTTTGGACAAAAGCGTCTGCTAAATACGTAAACATATTCAAAATCATATTCCAGTTAAGGTGAGACAGAGTTCACTATTACAGGTGTGGAAGCACTCTGGTTACAGTTACGATTTCCTCATTTGAAATGTGTTTTAGTTGGATGTTGCTACAGACCGCCGGATGCTGCTGGAATGCATCTCCATCAAATGCTAGATGTGGTCTGTGATACAGGAAATGAGATTTACCTATTCGAGGACTTAAACATAGATTGGAGATCAAGAAATTGCTCATTAAATAGCAAATTAATCTCATTTGCTAATGCTTTTAATTTGTCACAAGTTTTAAAAGATTTCACAAGAGTGCAGGTTAAAATAATGGTGAATGCTCTAAAACGAGTATTGGTTTAATTTTTACTAATATGGCTGAGTTATGTTCTGAGGCAGTTTCTGTTCCAGATGGATGCAGTGACCATAATTTGGTTGCTATTAAAAGAAAAGTTAAGGTGCCAAAAGGTCAACACTTTATATATAAAAGAATCTTTAAAAACTTTAGAGAGAGTGATTTTGTAGAAGAAATAAGAAACATAGATTGGACAGAAGTAAGAAAGGAGCAGGATCCGGGTAAAGCTGAAGAGATCTTTGACAAAGGTGATAAATAAACATGCACCGATGAGGAAACGGGCAGTAAGAAATGCAGCTTCTCCATGGCTGGATACAGAACTGAAGGAACGTATGAGGCAGAGGGACAAATTAAAATTAGAAGCAATAAAAACTAATCAACTGGAAACATGGTGCGAATATCGCAAAATAAGGAACGTTGTAACCAAACTGAATAAAAACAAAAAACAATTATATTATCATAGAAGAATCATAGAAGCTAAATTAGATAATGCAAAGGTGTGGGGTGCATTAAACGAACTTATGAGGGTTAAAAGAGGAAGGCACCTACTGTTCTAGAGGCAGATGAGTTTTTCTACCCAAACCAAAAGAAATAGCTGATTATTTAAAACTGCTTCTTATCAATAAAATTAAAACATTGAATAATACCAGGGAGGAGAGAAAAGATGAAAATACATCTTATCAAAGAATTACGGATGATATAATGCAAATGAAAGATTGTGAGTTTGTTTATGGAGGTGTCAGAGGATTGCATTAAAATACTCTTAAATAGTAAAGATAAACCCCTGGAACGGACAATACTGATATAAGATTGCTAAAATTGGTGGTAGATTTTATTTTACTGCCAGTTTCACATTAATTTCTGGAACTGCGCTGCTCTGGGTGGCTGCATGTTGGAGTATTTCTGTTGACTATATGTAAGTTTAGCCTGTTTTTTTTTGGACATTTTTTCTTCTAGTCTCTCAAGAAAAACGGTATTTTTTGGACATTTTACTTGTCTGTTTCTGGTGCTGTGAAGCTTAGAGGATTTTTACTGCTATTTTTTCCACTTTTTGAGCATTTGTTATGATGCGTAACCATGACAACAAGCTGGTTTACAATCAGGAGCAGCTGCTTAACTATTGGAAAGGCTGAAATAATACCTCAACTGAAGCCCCAAATCCCAAATGAGCTAAAACACAAGAAGCGTGGGTGCAGAGCGGGAGCAAAACGGAGACAGAGAAAGAGGAAATTCAAACCATCTCTTCCATCGATAATAATGGGCGATGTGAGATCACTGGCCAACAAGATGGAGGAACTCCAAGCCCTTTCAAGGACTCAGCCAGAGCATCGGCAGTGTAGTGTTATGTGTTTCACTGAGACGTGGCTGCAGGACCATATCCCCGATTCCAGCGTCTCTCTGCCAGGATTCCTGACTGTACGAGCAGACAGAGATCTGAAGAGGAGCGGGAAAAGAAAAGGAGGTGGAGTGGCAGTGCTTGTCAACAACAGATGGTGCCATCCAGGTCATGTTTCAGTAAAATGTCGTCTCTGCAGCCCAGATGTTGAACTCTTGGCAGTAAGTTGTCACCCATATTATTTGCCAAGAGAGTTCACCAGTGTTGTCTTGGCAACCGTTTATATTCCACCTTCAGCCATTGCTGAAAATGCATGTGATGCCATCAGTTCCGTTGTTGCTAAGCTACAAACCCAGCACCCCAATGCATTTGTGGCTATATCTGGTGATTTTAATCATGCCTCGCTCTCTGCTACACTTACAACATTTCATCAGTTTGTCAGCTGCTCCACCAGAGAAAACAAGGCATTGGATTTGTTCCATGCTGTAGTTCTTTTTTAAAACACAGAGCAGTTTTGTTTACCTGTTTTCCCGCTACGTTTCGTTTGCGGCTGCATGGAATGGAATTAGATACGACACAGCAAGAACACACCTAAGATTGGATTTGCGTTATGCAAATGTAAAGAATGCATACATGTCCAAAACAAGACCTCCTCTGGGACAATCAGATCACAATCTTGTTTTTCTCTGCTCAGAATACAAACCACTTGTTCAGAGGCAACCTGTGACAGGAAGAACTGTGAGAAAATGGTCACAGGACGCTGAAGAAGCCCTGCAGGGTTGTTTTGAGACAACAGATTGGATGACTCTCTGCCAAGGATATGAAGAGGACATCAATGCCATGACTGGATGTGTCACTGACTATATAAACTTCTGTGTGGACAACATCATACCCACCAGAACAGTGAGATGCTTCGCTAATAACAAACCCTGGATCACCAGTGAATTGAAGAATCTGCTAAATGAGAAAAAAAGAGCCTTCAAGGAGGGAGACAGGGAATTATTGAGGAGTATACAGAAGCAACTGAAGATCAAGATCAGAGATAGCAAGGAGGCATACAGGAAGAAGCCGGAGAACAAACTACAGAGGAACAATATCAGAGATGTCTGGTCAGGGATGAAGAAGATCACAGGCTTCAAGCAGAGGAAGGATTGCACAGATGGCAGCCTGGACACAGCCAATGAACTGAACAAGTTCTTCAATAGGTTCAGTTCAGGAACAAACCCAGCATCCTCCTCGCCTATCCCCAGCCAATCAGAAATCCCATCCTCCTCTGATGCAACATTTTCCTGTCACAAGCCAGCTCTTTTGTCCTCTAACACAGTCATGGACTCTTCTGGTTCTATAAATCCATCTTCAACCAAGTCAGGAGATGCTGCTGCCCCAGTTACCTCCCCCTCCCACCTATCTGTCTCTAGAAGTCAGGTGAAGAGGCAGCTGGAGAGACTGAACAGGAACAAGGCTGCAGGTCCAGATGGTGTCAGCCCCAGAGTACTGAAGGCCTGTGCAGAGCAGCTCTGTGGGATTCTGCAGCACCTCTTCAACCTCAGCCTGGCCCAGGAGAAGGTTCCAGTCCTGTGGAAGACATCCTGCCTTGTTCCAGTTCCAAAGAAATCTCGCCCATCAGTCAATGATGACTACAGACCGGTTGCCCTGACATCCCACATCATGAAGGTCCTGGAGAGACTCCTGTTGGTCCACCTGAATAAGCAAACTAGAACATATCAGGACCCGCTGCAGTTTGCTTATCGCCATGGAGTTGGAGTTGAAGATGCCATCATCCAGCTGCTTCAACCAACCCACTGTCATCTGGACAAAGCAGGCAGCACTGTGAGGGTCATGTTCTTTGATGTCTCCAGTGCATTTAACACAATCCAGCCTGATGTACTTTGCCAGAAACTCCAGAAGACACAGGTGGGGGCCTCAACTATCGCCTGGATTAAAGACTACCTGACAAACAGACCACAGTTTGTGAGGCTGAAGAACTGCACATCAAACCAGGTGATCAGTAACATTGGAGCACCACAGGGGACTGTACTCTCACCATTCCTTTTCAACCTGTACACCTCAGACTTCCAGTACAAATCAGAGACCTGCCATCTACAGAAATACTCAGATGACTCTGCAGTTGTCGGGTGTATCAGAGATGGACAGGAAGCTGAGTACAGAGAGCTGGTGGAGCGCTTTGTGGCATGGTGTGGAAACAATCATCTGACCTTGAACGTGAACAAAACAAAGGAGATGATTTTAGACTTCAGAAGAAACAGGGTGGAGTCAAACACTGTTTCCATCATGGGAGAAGAAGTGGAGGTGGTTGAGGAACACAAACACCTTGGAGTTCACCTGGACAACAGACTGGACTGGAGAAAGAACAGCGAAGCCGTTTACAAGAAGGGACACAGCAGACTGCACTTCTTGAGGACGCTTAGGTCCTTCAATGTCTGTAGCAAGATGCTGCAGGTCTTCTACAAGTCTGTTGTTGAGAGTGTAATCTCTTCAGCCATCGTCTGTTGGGGTAGCAGCATCAGAAGCAGGGACCTGAAAAGGCTCAACAGCCTAATAAAAAAGGCTGGTTCTGTTCTGGGGACGACTGTGGAACCACTGGAGGAGATGATGCAAAGAAGGATTCTCCAGAGAATCAAGAACATGATGGACAACCCTGAGCATTCTCTTCACAAGACTGTCCGACAACGGAAGAGTGTCTTCAGTCAGAGGCTTCTTCAGTTTGGCTGCAACACTGACCGCTACTGGAGATCCTTCCTGCCAACAGCCATTGTAATATACAACACCTCTTTGATGACTTGATTATGATTATTATTCTGAGCTACTACAGCAATCAGTTTCCCTCTGGGATTAATAAAGTATTTTTGAATTGAATTGAATTGAAAAATTCAACTTCTATTTTAATGGCAGATATTCTGAAACAGGTCAGGGAGATTGTGGAGTGCCACAGGGCAGTTGTTATTAATGACTTACCTTTAATTTTAAAACATGCAACCACGGCTATATATGCAGATGACACTACATTATTTGTGTCAGCACAAACAGAAGGCCAATTGGCTTTGGTCACACAATGGATTAGAATGAACAAGCTAGTAATTAACGCAGAAAAAAACTAAATGTATGATAGTTGGAACTAAATATACACTACAGATGACACTTGACTGCATCTGATGCTAGGTAATACAGAGATCGAGCAAGTACAACAAGCAGAATTGTTGGGGGTAATTGTGGATTCTAGATATTTATGGGCTAGTCAAATAAATTATGTCTTGCAGAAACTTGGAAGAAGTATGGGCACAATCAAATATTGTTGTAAATTTATTCCTCGTTTGCAGATAAAAACTTTAGTTCAAACATTAGTACTGTCTCATTTAGATTATGCATCAGTTATTTGGTCTAATACAAGTGAAATGAATTTAAATAAGTTACAAGTGGCTCAAAATAAAGCTGCACGAACTGTTCTGGGCTGTAATTACAGAACAAATGTAAGTAAGATGCATGATAGGTTGGCCTGGTTAACAGTGAAATGTAGATTAAAGTATTCACTGATAACATTTATAAGAAATATGATAACTACAAAAATACCTATAATAATTTATGACAAGTTATTTTTTCAGACAATCATGATTACACGACGAGACAGACAAGTGACATAAGGTGCGCACTACCGCGTTGCAGAACTAATAAAGGCAAAGAGCAGTTTATTACAGAGCCATGGTTGCATGGAATGCCATACCGGGATTTTTGTTATTAGAGAACAACAGAAGATGTTTCCAAAAGAAGTTAAAGCTTTTCTTGTTCACTCAACATTGAATTTTGCACAGTGAATTGTAGATGTGACTGAGATAACAGCTTCTAGTTTTTGTTCATTATGGTAGTGATGCAATATGATTTCTAATTCTTGGATATATTTATTTATTCCTCTGTGTAAACTCTCCGGATTTACTTATTTATCCTACTATCCACACTGAAGTGTGTGGTAACTTAATCTCATATCTTTATTGCAACTGAGCTATAGTGGAGCTTCTGGGGTTTGTTATTGTTGTGTGTGTGTGTGTGTGTGTGTGTGTGTGTGGTGGGGGGGGGGGGTTTGTAAAATATTTGTAATGAAAATGGCAGAGACCTCAGGAAGAATAGCTCCACACTATGGTGGGAGATAAAGAGGTTCTCAATAAATGAATAAATAACAGGGACATTGCAGGCCACCAAACCCAGACATGAACCAGTCTGAGCCCTGCAGGTGCTGTACTCACCGATGGAGGTGTGCAGAGACCTGCTGCAGTCTCCCTCCCATCTGAAGAATGGTATCTGCAGGGACCTCTTGTACCTGAAGGTCTGTGGATGGGAACGTCGGCAGCAGAACTGCTGACTCACCTTAAGGAACAAAACAAGACAGCTGTTACTAGAGGTGCAACGAATCAGAAAACTCAGTTTGGATCGTATCGAGGTTTGAGTCACAGATCAGCTCATTTTTCGGATCGGCACAAAGACAAATAACTTTGTTTTCTATTTATTTTGTAGAACGCTCTGCTTTAAGTGGGCCGGTACTCCGTGTACCAGGACTTTTCCCAGGGTACAGAGAGTACCGGCAGTTGTTCCGCTGATTTATTAGTTGAAATCTCAGAGTTTCTGAAAAAGTTATCTGTCCGCCTTCTAGTAAACACCAGCCAGTCCCCTCCAGCGCCGCCTCTGCTAACAGCAGACGCGCTCCAAGAAAAGCTTCTTTTCGCACAAGAGGACGTATTCTCTCCAAAGGCGCCTGCACCTGTGACTCTACTCTCTGTTGTGTTGACTTTCCTATTCCCGTGTTGTTTACCGGTGGATTCCAGGTCGAGCATCACCTATGACCCACTTCCTCTCCTGGATCTCAGACAGAAGTTAGGTTCCATCGATCTACAAGGCAGGAACATTAAGAAGATCTTCATCCCTCTGTTTGCTGTGGTCCCGGCATTCCTCCTCAGCTCACGGTCTCCAGCTTGGCTGCGAAGGAGACGTCATAGACGGGGCAAGCGAGACGGGCACCAGGCGAGGCTTAGGGCCGCTTTCGTGTTTCAGCCTCGGAGATCAACCCCTCTGCAGCTTCCGGATCACCAACTGGAGTCACCCAACCTCCTCCTCCTATGTTTGATTCTACCCTCCACCTGAAGCAACTCTCGGCCTCCGTGACTCCCACAGGCTTGGAAATATCAATGACTGAGCTGGATTTCAGCCCCCCAGCGTTACTTGCACGTTGCTACTGCCCACCAAAGTACAATTCAAACTTTTAAATGAATGTTGTGACTTTTTAGCAGACTTTCTCCTGACGTGTGATCAAGTGATTATCCTTGGTGATTTTAATATTCATGGTCAATGACTTTTTGGACTTGTTGGACTCTTTTGGCCTCAGCAGCTGGTTAAAGAGCCTACCCAAGATGGCTCTCACATCTGGATTTGGTTTTATCTTTTGGAGTTTCAGTTTCTGGACCCAGTCTGTTTTTCTGATCAAATTATTTTCAACATCTGTGGCTAACCCTCCCCCTGTAAGACATCAAGCACGGCGTTACGTCAGGTGTATTTCTCTGTCCACTACCACTCTGTTATCGTCCGGTCTGGTGGATGGTTTCTCAACCATGGGGGTAGATGTGGTGACCTCACGTCATACTGTGTGCTGGGCGGATCTTAGCTCTGCTGCTCCTCTTACAATAAGGAGTAAGAAATCATCACTGATCCCTGGCTTAATGACCCGACCCGAGCCCTTAGACGCCAGTCTTATGAACAAAAGTGGAAAAAGGACAAAGTGCAAATTTCTTTACAAATGTTGGACTCTGTCCTGTACCAGAAAGCCGTGAGAGCAGCCAGAAATGAGTGATTTAGTAATATAATCACAGCTCAACTAAAGTTATTTAGTACCATTAATTAGGTTCTCTCTTTAAAAGGTGCTCCTACACCCTCTGTTCCAATGACGACCCTTAGCACGGAGTTTATGAACTCCTTTCTGCTCAAAATCCAGAAGATCAAGCATCTTCCCAGTAGCTCGGGTCACCCTCGAGGAACCAGAGTGTTTTCACCAATCTTCTAATTTCACCCCTTTGCCTCTGCATGATCTGGACGAGCTGGTCAGGTCCACGAAGCCTTCTGGTTCTCCAGAGGTCTCCCTCCCCCCCACACTACCAGTCAGGCGCCTTCCTGTGTTGGCACCATTTATCCTGGGCCCAGTTTTTAAAAAGTAAGCCACGAGGATTTTGGATAACGGATTGGATCAAATCTTGAAAATGGGTTTTTCAAAAGAAAAAACGGATTACGTAATCAGATTAGATCAGATCCCCGACCTACAGCGTTTGTGTTGCAGGTCTCAGATGAGCGGACTGCTGAAGAGGATGGGGTGGGTTTTGTTTTTAGGTATTTTTAAATGTGTGTGTTTTCATTTCAAATGAAAATAAACGTGTATTGACCCACACTGGCTGTTCTACTTGTTGCTCTTTACGTATCTACAGTTCCTCTTTGTGATTTCCTGTCCTGTTTGAGCTGGTTATCCAGATTTGGTGATCCTGAAAAGTTCCTATCCAGATCAGATTGATCCAGTCCGATGTTGCTTAGAAAAAGTGGCTCAAAAGTAAACTGTTTATTGTTTATTTTGTATCTGGTAGTCACTCAAAAGACTTAGTTAAATAAAATGTTTAAATAAGATCTACTTCCTTCATTATTTTATTTAGAGCTGCTTTAAACAGGCTATTTTGTAAAATTGTGATTATGATTAAAGCTGCAGTGTGCAGTTTCCAGCCACTAGAGGGCAGTACATACATACGTCTTCCTGACTGTGACCAGTTCATTAAACATCACAGTAAAAGTTACCTGTGGAGCAGAAAGAATGAAACCTTGGTGTGACTCCTCAGGTAATTCCATAAGAGCCAACAGTAGTTTTCAGGAGCTGTACTTTCCGGATCTGCTCGGGGGCGTTCACCTGCTGATGACGTCATCATATTGTAGTAGGGCTGGGCGATATATCCATATTTTTAAAGTATCAACATAATATTTAAACAAGATACAAGATGACTTTATATCTGTATATCAATATGACTGGTCAAACTGCTATGCTAGCGATTAGCCGCTCTGCTAGCGACATGTTGCTCTGTCTCTAAGCGGCTATCACGTGTATTCTCACAAGTTTGCTCAATCTGAGAGCCTCTGGCTAAACGTGCTGCTCTAAACTTCGCATTTGGCATCCTGGTTTTTAATTATTTGGGGACGTTCAACATCAACGGAGTTCTGTTTTCCATCCTGCTTGTGCGGACGAGCCAAACCCCTCCCTCCCGTGTGTAATGGGAAACATCTACGGAAAGCCGGAGTGGCCAAATTACCTCAAACCTATTGTAAGGGTTTTAATAGTAAACTAGAGGGTTAACGTTTCATTTTGAAGACGAGCTCAACGGGTGAGAAATGTTGTTCCGGTGTTTTCCGCTCTGGTTTGCTATGCTAGTAAAAACTCCGCTACGAGCGATTCTGTAGAGAAAAGTTAAGTTTGTAAGGCGAGGGTAACGGCGACAGTAGCCTGAACATAATACTGATAAAAGAGCAACCAGAGACTCTGAGTCATTACAGTATAACCGCTGATATGAGCCAACACTGTTAGACTGCAGCCATGTTTGCCCTGATCACTAATAACTCCACCGTGCATGACCCATGTGACCTTCAGTAGATGCAATTACATCATCATACATTTAGCTTAGCATGATAGATTTATTTTCTCTGGACAAGAAATAAACGATACGGCCACCTCTAGCTGACATTTAAATAATTTTACCTTAATTATAAATATATAATTAAAACGTGCCTGTGGGACATTTGATACACTTCTAGCTCTCAACTGTGTGTGTGTGTGTGTGTGTGTGTGTGTGTGTGTGTGTTACCAGACAGCTGTACCAGAGAATAGGCACTCACCCCGGCTCTCCACCGCAGCCGTCAGCAGCACGTTACTGCAGCAGCACGTCTTGCTCGCGTAAGCTGCTGCTTGGCCCCTCCCACGAGGCGCGGAGCAGCAGGGGAGCAGCTGTCACCGACCGAGCACGAAGTCACACGAGTGACTTCGTCAGTAAACACAACAACAAGCAGGAGAAAACTATAACATGGTTTGTGTTTTATGTTCTGTCCGTTTTATAATCGCCAATACGGACCTGAAAAACAAAGGAGACCGCTAGCTAGGTGATAACTTCTCACGGGGATGCACAGTTAGTAACTGTTTTTAAAAGTAAAGCAACCGGAAGGCAGTACGTTCTTTATTCTGAAAATCTCTGTAGCTTCTCCCCATTTCCGCGTCCGATTTCCTGTCTTTCCTTCCCCAAACATGTGGAACTTGACCCGTTTCAGAGGCGTCGCGCGTAGAAAATAGAACCGGCGCGTAAAGGCCGCGACATGCTGCTCCTGAGACGCGGCCGACTCGCGCTGCTGACGGCTCCGGTGGAAAAGGTTCTGTTGACCACAGCGGTTCCTATCAGCAGCTATGACGTGCTGCTGCAGTAACGTGCTGCTGACGGCTCCGGTGGAAAGGAGGGGTCAGGCTTAAGTTTGACAAGAATCAATTATTTTTATGCATTTAATTTACTGACTTATGTATAATTTCTCAGGACAGCTTGAAGTGAGTTAACTTGTAAATATTTTACAGGAGGAAAAATATCGAGATATTTATCGTATATCAGAATTCAGCAGAAGGATATCGAGATATAAGTTTTTGTCCATATCGCCCAGCCCTATATTACAGCAGTACCGCTCGGCCAAAATAGATTTAATCTGTTTTAATATCCGTTCTTTTATGTATACTTTGGAAAGGGTTTAGCAGTTTTGTTATTAAATTAATGTTTTCTACCACCTAAATGTTTTAGAACGTGGTAGCGTTACTTCCATAACTCCACCGTTCTGGTGTGATGTCATCAACTGGTGCAGGACCACAAGCTGGCCAGAAGGAAACATGGCATCTCCTAAACGCTGGACCCACACCTTATGTACTTTAGACCCAATTTTTATGGTAAGAAACCGCCAACATTTTTCAACCACTGGACATGATTTGATTTATTTAACAATATTTTGATGGATATTTCCAAAATTAAAGGTACAAACTGCTGATTGTCTCTTTAAAACTGAGATTGACAACATGGAGATGATATTTTTTGCCATATTCCCCAAGCCTAATATTCGGTGAGTTATGAATGATAAACACTAACACTTTGCTTCCGTCAAAAAGAGGAGCGAGACTGCTCCAAGATGGCGGCCCCATCGCTCGCCAGCGCCAATAGGCACTAGCGGTCGATGCCGGCTCGATTCTTTGTGTCTGCATGTAGTCCCAAACAGGGAAGTCACTAATATCAGCTGTAAGGTCACGGTCAGCCGGACAAGCCCTTCTGCTGTGTCTGACAGAGTTTTGGATACGCTGTTTGCTCTCAGAGACACGACCTAGGTCATCTCTCCTCATTTTTGTCGCTGTCAGCTATAAAAGGAGGCCCAAATGATTTGTTCTCCCACAGTAGGATGAGATACAGCAGAGGTATTCAATCCCAGTCCTGGAGGTCCGGTGTCGGTACAGGATCGGCTCGGGTGCAGGATCGGCTCAGGGTCCTTCGACTGCCGATGACGTCAAAGTAGTTGATTGGCTGAACACGAAGCTTACAGAAGTGACGTTATCACGTTATGATTCTGATTGGTCAGAACAAATTTGCGGTCGTAGTCTTAGCGGTTGTAGTCCTGTAGTCCAAGAATCAACACTTCTGGGAGAAAATATGTTAGAATTTCTAAAGGAAATGTAAAATAAAAGCAAATGATAAACGGTGACCCTCAAAAGCTCTTAATGTTGATGAAACGGGGCAAAATAAAATATAAGAACTTTACCGAAAGACACCAAGCAACATTTAGAGTCAAAGAATGTATTTAGATAACAACTAAGGAAATATACAGACGAGCTCCACATGAACACATACAGACGTGGCTTCACATATAAGAACTGTTCTGTTTGTCAGTCCGATGGTGGATTTATGCAGTTTCACATTCTTTACTAAACAAAGATAATATGGTGTTTTATTAACTAATTACAGTTATAAAGAAAACATTTAGGTGTTAACAAACAAGAATCTATTAACAACACTGCTGATGTCTTTCCAAAACGTGTGTGTGTGAAAGCCGAGTAGAGTCGCAGTCATGTGACGTCATCGGCAGTCGAAGGACCCCGAGCCGATCCCGCACCGACACCGGTATCTACGAGTCACGTGTGCAGCAGCTCATCAGGCTCTGCAGAAGCCTGTTCATCACCTGCTGATGGAAATCAGGTGTGTTGAAGCAGGCTCAAACTAAGAGGTGCAGGACACCGGTGCTATGTCGATATGAGTCTCCCCGTTCAGATCTGTCTCTTTCCACCCATCCGCTCACTAACAATGGCCTAGTCACCCAAAACGTCTGACTGGAAAATCATACTGAATGAGCTGTGTTTTTTGTACCATTCCCTGGAGGTGAAGAGCCAGGAAATGAGGTGTGCTAGCCGGAGAGGAGCTCCACCACACAGCAGCTTTCTACGGACCTTCAACAGACTGGAACCAGAGACTGGGATTAGAACCTGTACGACTTGGGACTAGGTGACCTGGAGACTAGCACGGCGGCTAACGACTTTTGCTGTGGCGTGGTGACGTCACGGCTACATCCGCTGAAGGCAGTTGCGCGCGCAAATACGAGTTGCGAGATGACTCGGTTCGGCTAAATGAAGCACTTAAAAAGCCATTCTCACCAAGACGCTGAGAAGTTTGAAGGATTTTCTACTTGCTGTTAGCATTTTCCTCCGTTCAGCACGCCCCTGTCAGCAGCCAATCAGCGCTCACTGAACTCTTCTTCTCTCCTACCGGCAGGCGTCATTTGGAATCCTAGGATGTCCAAGGAAGACCCCACCTTTCTCTCCCCTGATTGGCTAGAAAGGCTCTGCTACGATTGGCTGTTTCATTTAGCAGCTAACCGGCTGTCCTGCTAACAGCAGAAAGCTAGTTCTGGGAGTTTAGGAAAGAAAATGTGAACTTATAATCTTGCTGCATTTATCAAACTGTTGGACTTCCTTTATACCTGTTGACTCTGAAGCATTAGAGTTAGTAGGATAAACATGCGTGCCTTACCTGGCGTGAGCTTTAATAAAAGCGCCCTGTTCTGCCCAGCCGTGGGCATCAGGTCTGTTTGTTTCTAGAATAATGAAAACTGGTGAAAAATGGGTCTAAATCCTGATCAGCTTGAATTTATTTTTGATAAAATGATACAGATTTAATCTGACCATGAGAGATATGCTCTAACTTGTAAACAGCCTTAACCTGTTAAAGCAGGGTAGCCTAATAATGAAGTCATGTGATAACCCCAGCAGATGTAACGTCAGTGTGATAAATGCAACAAGATTTATTACAAGTTCACATTTATACGTTTTTCAGGTTCTTTTGTGAAAGAAACTAAACCTGGTGTGTTGCAAAACAGGAAATGATGTTTATTACAGCGATGAGTTCACATTTTCTTCAGAAACTCCTGAAGATCTGACTGTAAACACACAACAGCAGCGAGGGAAAACAACTTCCTCTTACATGAAAACAGCCAATCAGAGGAGAGCCCTTCCAGCCAATCAGAGCAGAGAAAGGCGGGACCAACCTTGGACATCCTAGGATTCCAAATGACGCTACCGGCAGCCGTGACGTTGGCCGGAAGGAATACTGCCGCTTGTGGTTATCTGGGAAACTGCAGAAGCATTTCTTTATCTCATTTAACACGTTTGCGCCTGTTTTAGAAGAAAGTATTTCAGCAGCCTTCTCTCTTTTTTATCAGTATAAAACACATTCACACACAATCATCCTGTCTTCTGTCTCCTGATCTGCAGCAGCTGGGATGTTTGTGACTGCAAAGCTTATTTATTTGTTTGTTTGTTTGTTTATTCATTCATTCATTCATTTATTTCAAAACCATGCCCACTTTCAAATGAAGCACACGCCTCTTGTTCTGACATTTTCGTTTTGTGCTTGGTTAGGGTCAGAAGGGTCACGGCTCGGTTGTAACGTGATGGAAGTTACATGGATTAAATGATCAATAAGATGTGATATTCCATATAAATATGATTTAGCAATCTGATTGGTTTTTTAATGCTTGACTTAATATCACCTTAGGTTCTTTAGACTCCTCAGAGAACACACACTCCACATTAATTCAGGACATAGTTATAAAAATCAATGTAATTCTACATTTCTAAACTAATGATGACACTGAACACCTTACGATGGTTGGACACAAAACTGAGACAATGAATGAACTCCAGTGTGCAGGTCTACGATACCCGTGGAGTAAGCGCTGGGTGGTCCGGAGGACAGGCAGCCAGGTTGGTGATGTCGCCGGATGGATTGGCTCCTGGAATCTCAGAGTCAAATCAAAATCAAATCAAATTTTATTTGTATAGCACCTTCTACAACATTATCTGAAGCCCAAGGTGCTGAACAACATCATTAAAAGAAAAACATTCCCAGTACATGGGCATAAAAGCAGGATAAAAACATAAAATCATAAAATATCAAGCAAACACTGTTACAGATAAGAGATATCGGAATAAGACTAATCGATAGAAAAAACAAATGTCGGACAAAATAAAATCAAGCATCTGGGTTAAAAAGAAGAATAGTTAAAACCATAATGTTAGGGCAGTTCAAGTGACCCTAGCGCTGAAACGCAATCAGATAAAAATGAGTCTTTAAACGAGACTTAAAGACTTGAAGGGATGGTGCCTGCCTAATGCTCAGTGGCAACTCGTTCCACAGAGTTGGAGCCAAAATAGAAAAAGCACGACTACCCCTCGATCGAAATTTCTACCGGGAGCCCACCAGAAGTTCCTGCTCGGCTGAGCGAAGAGACCGAGATGGAGCATTCCCTTTGAATTCAGGTATGACCGGGGTGTGACCAGAGTCTGCTAGTAAGATGTTCCACGTCTGATGAGTTGTTGCGTCTGATGTCCCACATGCAGGCGTTGCAAAGAGGCTTCGACCTTGAGTCAAAAGAAAGGATGGTCCCTTGTGCTTTCCTCACCTGGCCAGCTAAACCAGGAAGCTGGCTGAGAACTGGCTAGTCCAGGAAGTGAACTAGTCTTTATTAACTAGTGTTGACTGTCATGTCCCCCAGCTCGCTAGGAGTGAAGCGGGTGAGGGAGTAATGGTTAAAACAGTGGATATAAACCAAGTAAATGTGTTTCTGTGAAGGAGATTTTATTTAAATAATAATTATAACAAAGATTAATCTGGGAAACTAAATGCACCGGATCAAAAGGACTGGGAATAACTGCTCAAAACGAGGAGAAATAACCTCAAACCTTTCACCAGGGTCACTCACGGGGACGATCTGAGGACATGACCTCCTAGACAAACGCAAATCTAATTCAGAGTTGTCTTAAACAACCCGAGTCTAGCAAAGCCTCGAACCTGATTGGGTCACACGGGGAGAAAATTTACCGCAGTATAAAGACGAGAGCCGAGGTACCTTTACAAGGCTATCAGTCCGCCGATGGGTTTATTTTATTTTACCAATTTAAACCGAAAATAAAGAGCGTACGAGCCAACCAGCTGATGTTAGCATCGCTGACGTCACAAGCACGCAGAGGTAAACGCCACAGAACTTCTAATTCAATGTGCCTTCATGTACCGATCGTTGCAGCAAAAAGACTGAGTCAACTAAAAAAGGTTTTGGCGAATTAAACCACAGCATTTGTGCCACTGACATAAAAACCGCCGTCATCTTTCCGACAAAAAGCCATTTTGAACCAGACTTGAGGAAAGAGCAGGAAGTGACGTCACAGTCTCTTAACCGTTCTAGTACCTCTAATGCAGCGCTGAATCTCATTCCTTAGCAGTTTCAGTCTAGGTCACACCTTCCTGCATCTGATCAGCACAACGACTCATCAGGGGTAGAGAGGAGGGGTACTCAGAGTAGTTTCTGCTCCTTAAACAACAACAGACAGCTACAGCTTATAAGCTTGACTCTCTCATATTCCAGTTAGAACTGACAAAGCTCCTCGGATGAGAGGAGAAACGTCTTCAAGAAACCAAAGAAGTCCAGTTGCCTTCATTTAAACCCTTTTGGATCACCATGACCTGGATGACGGAGCACCTTCACCAGCATAACACCACCGTCTCTTCTTTTCTGCTCGTTAAACCCTCCTACCCGCCGATACCGCCACCAGCTAGCGTGTTTTATTCTGGCCGCTTCATTAAATCTTTTCCAGTTTCTCTGACAACTATTTTCTCTAAAATTAAAGGTTTTTAATTTAATTATGACCAGTAAGGTGTGATGATTCCATATAAATATGGAATATCAACCTGATTGATCTCTGAGTGTTTAATCAGAAGATTCTAGTTACTTTTACTTGTTCAGGGACCATAAACACACTTCGTATTCATTCAGACAGAGTCAGTATGTAGATAGAAGGAATTTTATTCTTTTCTAAACTAATGATTATACATGACAAGATATGAATAATGAGATGTGATGGAGTGGATATGCGGTGATGGAGTGTGATGTGTGGGTGGTGTGATGTAAGCTAGATGTTTATCAGAGTCTTTGTATCTGAAAGAAATTGTGAAATCTGGGAGTAAAAGAATTAGTTGTCTGCTGTAAACTAGAGAGTTGATTATTAATAAAACAGCTTCAGACACAATCTGCTGTGTGTACAAACCCTGGTGGAGACCCCAGCAAGTCTGGACTGTCAGAAGTCGGGTGGACCTCACGGCACCGGGATTTCGTAGATTAAACTCTGACATGACCCGTCCAGTCTTGAGATGTCTCCGGGTCACAACAGTAGCTGGAATGCTTGTCTGCGTCCAAAGTGGGTGTGGCTCTTGGGGAGCCGTCTGGCTGTGTCAGGTTGCAGCGTGCAGACAGGCTGGCTGTCTGTCAAAGAGATGTTTCAAAAGAGGCTTCTTTCCCGACTTGGCCGGATCGGGTTCAGCTGGAAACTGAATTTATCGGGAAGTAATTCCTGTTTATTAAACTACTTTGTTATGATTTCCAGCCAATTCTGGCAAATTAGAATGTGCCATGTCTGGAAGGCTTCACCAGAACATCCCTCAGAAAGGGTTAGGGTTAGCCTTCCTTCAGATACAAGCTGCTGACTCTTTAAACGTTACGAGAGGTGACCCTTAACCTTAACTCGTGTCTTATAAACGTGAGTATGAGTGTAGACAATGATAAACTTGTTAAGCCAACACATACTGATGTGTGATATAAATGGATCATTGTAAGAACAATATTCATTTATAATTCATTGATTTAAGCACAGATTATTCAAACATTTCATTTAAACATCTTGTTCATTCATCACATGTGATTATTCATATCATTAGTTGTAAAAGTCTCGTCGGATTCGTGTTGAATCACTTTTTATTCAGAAAGATGAATCCAGCAGTCTGACTTTTAGCAGAGAGATGAGGCTTTTGCGTCTGGTGAGACCTTGACAGTTTATTTGTGTCTGCGTTGAAGAATAATAAGTGAGAAAAGGTTGATTTGTGCGTCTGGATCCTCCAGCTGGTGTAACCTTGACTTAGCAGTTCTGGTGTGAATGAAAGGTTCTGCTGTCAATCCGATGGTGGACATGGACCCTTTTGACTCATTACAGCTGCAAACCGAGACAAACTTTTGATGGATTTTCTCACTGAAGTGAGACATGAAATGCAACAGGAGCCGTCCAACCTACGACAGGAAGTACAGATGATGTTATGGACACACACACACACACACACACACACACACACACACACACACACACACACACACACACACACACACACACACACACACACACACACACACACACACACACACGCGATCCACTCCCATTCCTTCCTTATGTTTGTATAAATAAACTTTGTGACCAGATGTTCGGGGCGTCTGCCTCATTGTCTCCTTTTCTCTCTCTAGCTGCAGGAAATGGGTTTATTGAAAAAAATCCCTGACAGATGATCAGACAGGAAGTACACAATTTGAGTATTAGAGTCCACGCCCAGGGAGATTTTGGATGTTTTATCATATTTTAGGGAGATTGATGTTCACCTTGACCGGTTTCCAACCTCTTCTATTTCTGATAAGATTTTGTTGATCAGGCTCACCTCGTCCACTGAGGATCGCCGCACACCCGACCTCACAGGATAACAAAGATTACGGGGACATACTCCTCCGGTGCGGCGTGTCGGATGACAGCTCCCATATGTGCGATCCAGCCTTTGGTGAAGCAGTATCTGGATGAAACGAGGTGGAGAATCACAGGGAGGAACGTCCAGGGAAGCAAACCGACCAGCATTGCCATTCCGTCGGAGGGATCTGATCCTGACCCTGACACCAGCATGATTTCCACGCCGCCGTCTCGAAAAACGCGCCGTCCGGCCAGGAGTAGCGAGAAGCACCACCAAAACCTCCTCAAACAGACTACCGAAAATCGGCCCAAAAGTCGCATCATGAAAACGTGGAAATCCCGAGTTGAATCGAAGATCCAAGAGTGTAGTCCGGTCATATTGTGAAGTAGGATGACAATCAGCCAAACAGCGATTCAAAAACAAAAGAGTCAGCATAATAGCTAGGAGCAGCAGACGGCGCCATCTTAACATCCCTGTGGCCACTAGAAGGAGCCCACGTTCAGCACAGTGGTGCTCCTGGATGGAGTCTCAAAACGGTGGGTCGTCCCACTCAGGTGACCGCTGCCCTCGCCCTTACCGTCTTTAGTGATGACTATGTTGACCACAGCCCTGCTGCTCCAAGTTCAAGGGCTGAGTCTGGTCGCAGGCCTCCTTACGACCTGCTCTCCATCCTGAAATCTGTCTTCTGACTGGGTAAGCGCCTCACCAAAGGCTAAAGAGGTTTACGCATCTCTTCTGCAGACCAGAGAGCACGTCTTCCTGCACCTGTAGTGCCTACACATGGCTCTTTTGTAAAGAGGAGCCCTCTGCCCTGGGGCGGTGGTCAGCTGTGGTGGCCTGGGTGTCATTAAGCGTGTGTGTGTGTGTGCGTGTGCGTGCGTGTGCGTGTGTGTGTGTGTGTGTGTGTGTGTGTGTCAGACGATGAGTGTAATGGGGGTATTATTGTCATACTGCTATGGGGAGGGAAGGAATGTGGGTGTGTGTGTGTGTGTGTGTGTGTGTGTGCGTGCGTGTGCGTGTGTGTGTGTGTGTGTGTGTGTGTGTGTGTGTGTCAGACGATGAGTGTAATGGGGGTATTATTGTCATACTGCTATGGGGAGGGAAGGAATGTGGGTGTGTGTGCGTGTGTGTGTGTGTGTGTGTGTGTGTGTGTGTGTGTGTGTGTGTGTGTGTGTGTGTGTGTGTGTGTGTGTGTGTGTGTGTGTGCGTGCGTGTGCGTGTGTGTGTGCGTGCGTGTCAGACAATGAGTGTAATGGGGGTATTATTGTCATACTGCTATGGGGAGGGAAGGAATGTGGGTGTGTGTGTGTGTGTGTGTGTGTGTGTGTGTGTGTGTGTGTGTGTGTGTGTGGGTGTGGGTGTGTGTGTGTGTGTGTGTGTGTGGGTGTGTGGGGATTTTGGTTTGTAAAGCACTTAGAGTTGATATACTGCAGGAATGATGCTTTATAAATAATGTTGAAGTTTAAATGTTTAGAGCTCAGCAGACAACCCACGATAAGCGGTGTCAGACGTGGGACGTGACATGAAAATTCTGCTTTTTGTGTTTAAGCTGTTCCAAGGCTGTGCCCCCACCTACTTAGCGGAGCTCCTAATAAAGCATGTTCCCTCAAGGTCATTACGGTCAGCTGACCAGGAAATGCTTATCGTCCCCCGCACTCGATTTAAGACTCGTGGTGGTCTGGCCTTTCTAGTCCTTGCACCCTCTCTCTGGAACCAGCTCCCCATCACTGGCGGTCTTTAGGAGCAGGTTGAAGACTCATGTTTATAGGATGGCTTTCTCCTAAAGCTTTTGGTTTCTGGTTTTGTTTGTTTGTTTTCAGCTTTCTTTGAACAAATTAAAAGTCATTTTCTTTGTCTAAATGTTATCTCGTTGATATGTCATTGTTCTCACTAATGTCTGTGTTCTGATTTTGTTTTTATGACTCGCTACTCTTATCTTTGTTACTTTTCTTGTCCAACTCCTTGGGCCCCCTTTGAGGGTGGTGGAAAGTGCTCTATAAGTAAAGCTTGACTGATTGGTGGCGAGTCGGCGGAGACCAGCGGCTCTTCCCGTTGGCACGCGGCCCAGCCTATGCTCTCAGCGTTCGCAGCCACGGGAAGGGGCTGTGGAGAAACGTTCAGGGGAGGGGAGTCAGGCCCCGCGGACAGGAGCTGCTTCAGCTTGAGACACGTTGCAGTCATCGTTAGAGGACAAGGACGCGGTGGGCACCTGTCCGGGTCCTAGTACTCCGGTGAGGTAAAGAGGAGGGGTGTAGTCCCTAATAAAGGACTTTTTGACGGCCCAGCAGAGACGTGAGGAACTCTTGCTGTGGGAGCTCCGTGGTCTGCGCAGTTCACACCCGGCTCGGTTCAGCAACCGCAAGTCCAGGATTCTCGGAGGGCCGAGGACCTGAAGCACGGGCAAGATAACAAGTAGCCCAAGGATGGAACCACTGATTATCTCGTCCCATGGGCTGGGGTCAACTTCTACAGGCTCAGATATTGCTCTGGAACGACCTAGACTGGATCGGGACCTACATCCGTGATTCCATCTCCGGTCGGGAGAAGGTGGTTCACAGGAATCTGTTGTTGTTGGCTAACTTCCTGCCCTAGGAGGAGGAGGAGGAGTCTCCTGACCATGTTTCTTCTGTGTCTTGTATAGACATCACATCGCACCGTGCTGCTGGTAGCATGCATGTGGGGGAGGACATGGGTGTCCCTGACATGAGCTTCCCAACTTGTTCTGGTGTGCACTCACCTGATGTCATGGATGATTCAGGGCTTGACTCCGTACACTTGGACTCTGAGGACAGAACTGTTGCTCGGGTAACCCAGTGGACAGAGCCATGTCCGTCTTGGGTTGATGCCAGTGAAGTGTCCAGTGTGGGTTCAGTTCAAACAGCCACATGTGTTAGCTGTTGATGCGGTCTCTGACAACAACGTCTCCTGTACCATATCCTCTAGAGCCTCTTCCAGTGCAGGTTGGGGGGAGGGTGTTCAGCCAGGCCCTCCTGTGACAGTCGCTGGTGCGATCTGGTAACCCTGTTCCTGCTGATCAGGCCTCTCAGGGTGACCCTGCTCTCAGTGATTTTCCCCAGGTTAGAACCAGATTCGGGCGTCTGGTCAAACCAGGAAACAGGCTGATTCAGACTATGTCCAATCAGGTTGTGGCCTTGTCAGCTCTGGCATGAAATCTGTTTGTAATGATCGGATTTGGTCTTTTTCTGTCCAAGAGTTGTTTTGTTTCCTTGTTTTAATCTTGCTGCACGTTGAATGTCGTGTTTGCTACTCTGTGCTCCATTTTGGTGGGTTTCTCTTTTTCTTGTTGGGCCTGTGTTTTTTTTTGGGGGGGGGGGGGGGGGTGTATTAGGGGCACCCTACTAGCAGGAGTTGGGTTGGGAGCTTAGCGCTTCTCCCGTTCCACTTCATCCTGAGGGACACATTCAGTGGGAGTGAGTGTAACGGAGTTTAAAATGTAGTTGATAATTATGTATTCATTTTGTATGAATATTGTTTAAAAGTGAGAATTTTATCATTTTAAATGTATTTTATTTTGAAAAACGGAAGTGCAGGCTTCTCTGTTCTTTTCAACCACCGTTGCTTCCCATTCCTCCCAAAGCCGTCTCATCATCATCATCATCATCATCATCAACCTTTATTTATAAAGCACATTTAGACGGGGTCAACGCCAACCAAAGTGCTGTACAAGACATTACGTCAAAAGCAGTTAAAACAAATAAAAACTAGTAATAAAAAAATAAAAAAAACAGGAAAGAACAAGGGTTACACGGTCTCAGCCGGGAAGGCCAGGGAACAGAAATACGTCTTCAAAAGTACTTTAAAAGTGGGAAGGGAGGGGGCGAGTCGGAGCGTCAGGGGGAGTCGGTTCCAAAGTTTAGGCCCACAAACTGAAAAAGCCCGTTCGCCAGGGGCCGTGTAGCGGGCAGGAGGGACAAGCAGAAGGTGCTGTCAGAGGACCTCAGGGTCCGCGCCGGAACAGAGGGACGCAAAGAGGTGCCAAACAGGAGGGGGCCGTTTCATGGATAGATTTGTAAACCAACAGGAGAATTTTGAACTTAATATGAAACCGAACTGGAAGCCTGTAAATTTGCCAGAACAGGGGTGATATGCTGCCGCCGGTCTATGCTCGTAAGAAACCTTGTGGCAGCATTCTGTACCAATTGGAGGCGTACAACTGAAGAGGAGGGAATACCATATAAGAGAGAGTTGGCATAGTCCAGATGTGACGTTACAAAAGCATGAACAACTGACTAAAGATTTTTTTTGTTCAGGACAGATTTTAGTTTGGCCAGCCGCCGAGGATGAAAGAAAGACGACCTGACTACCTGGTTCATCTGTGCATCCATTTTAGAAAAAGCGTCCAGAGTGACCCCCAAATTTCTAATTGTTGGCCTCACCAAAACTGACAATGACGGGGGCAGAGATGGCTCCACAGCCGAGGGGGAGCAGGGGGCAAAGAGAATAGCCTCCAGTTTGGAGCTGTTAGGATAGAGAAAATTAGCCGAGAGCAAGGACCTGACTTCACTCAGGCAGTCAGTCAGTGGTTGCAAAGGGTCAGCAGATTTTAGGGCCATATAAAGCTGACAATCGTCAGCGTAGAGATGAAAAATGACCCGGAATTTTCTAAAAATGGTGCCAAAGGTAAAATATATAGATTAAAAAGAAGCGGACCTAAAACAGACCCCTGGGGAACCCCCCAAAAAAGAGGTGCCACTCTAGAGGCGCAATTCCCCAGGGCAACATTAAAACATCTGCCATTGAAATAGGAGCGGAACCACTCTAAAGCTGTTCCACGAATGCCAATTACCTGCTCCAGGCGCTGTAGTAGGATTGTGTGGTCGACAGTGTCAAAGGCGGCAGATGAGTCTAAAAGCACCAACAACACATGAGAACCAGAATCAGAGGTAAGCAAAAATATTGTTAAAAACACGAATAAGAGCAGTCTCAGTGCTGTGGTGAGGGCGAAGACCAGTCATGAAAATATCTAAAACATCGTTGGATGTAATGGAATTAAAAATCTGGATAAAAACCATCTTCTCCAACCATTTGGAGAGGAAAGAGCTTAGATATAGGACGGTAATTGTTCAAGTCGTTCGAGTCCAAGCCTTGCTTTTGTAGAACAGGCTGGACCGCCGCATGCTTAAACTCCTGGGGAACAATCCTCGTCCTAAGGCTTGCATTAAGGATCTCCAGGATCGGTTGAGCAGTTACTGGGAAGTCTTCCTTCAGGAAGTGAGGGGGTATAACATCACAAGGAGAGCCAGAGGGCTTCGTAGCAGCCACTGTCTTCCATAGGGAGGAAGAAGAGACGGGGAAACGCTCAGAGGAACATAATGGAGAACAAACAGGGGCTTCTGGCAGAATCTGAGCCCCAATTGTGGCAACTTTAGAGATAAAAAATGCAAAAATTAGGTGCACCTTTCCTCAGACGTATTAAGCAGAAGAACGTTGGGTGTCAAAAGTGCATTAACAGTGGAGTAGAGGACTCGCTGGTTACCCGAATATTCGGTAACAATAGCAGCAAAATAGTCAACACGGGCCTTCCGAGCAACGCGTTGGTCATTCCTCCAGGCCTCACGGAGAAGCTGGAAGGAAGCTGGAGATTTAACCTTTGTCCACCGCCGCTCACATCTCCTACATTCCCGTCTAGCAGCACCGGTATGAAGGTTGAGCCAAGGGTCAGAGCGACAGCGGGAACGTCGGGATCTTAGAAGGGCAATCTGATCGAGCACGGAAGTGCAAGAGGCAGAAAAGAGCGATAGGAGGATCTCAGGATCAGAAGAATCCTCATAGGAAAACACAAAATCTGAAAATAAAGCAGAAAACTCAACAACTGAGGAAGAGGAAATGCGGCGAGCACGGCAAATCCCCACCTGCCTGGGAGAGACAGGCCGGGCCACATCCACAGAAAACAAAACAGGAACGTGATCAGGTCGGACCTCCGTTACATCAACACCAAAAGAAAAAACTAAATCCAATATGTGAGACCCCCCACGAGTGGGGAAGTCAGCCAACTGAGTCAGTCCACAGGAGTCAGTTAAATTACAAACATCGCCACCAGGAACTTCTCAGGACCACAGACATCGATGAAGAAATCCTTCAAGATGAACGTTTAATTCCGGATCGAGCGTGCGCTGATCAAAGCGCACCGCAACTGCGCCGCCGGCCGAATGACAGGACCTACAGAGGTGTGGCAGTTGTTGACTCGTTGGAGACTAGACGCCGTCACTCCTCGCTGGCATCTGTCACAGGTCCAGGGCAGCAGCTCCGGGAGACGGGAAGCACAGTGAATGGAGCGACATCGAGGCCCAGACAACAGACGGAGTCGCTGCGCTCTGACAGACCAATCCAGAGCCGAACGAAGGCGAACCCGGCGGCCACTACGACAGCCCCGCCGGCGGTGGCGTTTTGGGAGCCACCCTTGAGGATGGATCCTCCATAGGGTGACAGGAACAGAGGGAAACCGATGTTGGAGCGTTTCCCGGAGGTTAATGCTGCCACGCAGGGGAAAACGCCCAGAATAGCGAAGATCCAGAAGGGTAAGTGTGTCATAGGTCGTGAGTGAAGATCCCAGGGAGAGCGGATAGACGGCCTGCCGAACACGCTGGCACCATCTTCATCCAAGATGGTGAGGGTAAGTCCAGTGCAGAAATGCTGCAGCATCACTATTTAAGTTGTAAGCTCTGTTTTATATAAATGAGTATTTCTTTTAAAAATGTTTCTTTGCGTGTGGTCGGAGTTTAACCCGCGTTAAACTGTTTATGTGCAGCCTTTGGAGCGAGCCCTGGGGGCTGATTTGTGTGGTGCTGTAAACGTGGGCAGAGCCATTGTGTTGTGCTCTCGTTGACATTCACTGCAGGAGCGACAAACGCCGCTGCTGCCAGAGGAGGCGTTGAGTGAATCTGAGGTCTTCTGCAGGTAAGAAGATGAAGAGTGGAGAACAACTTTCATGCTGAATCAGGACGTTACCTAAACGCCCCGCCCAACTGTCCCTGGCAAACATTACAAGTCACTCCCCAACGCTGATTTTTGCAAACTGCCAACAACGCCGAATGTTGAGCTAACACAACGGAGGAAGCAAGCTTAGAGACAAAACTAGTTTTATTTTCCAAATGTGAGGTAGTAAAAGGTTTAGTATTAAAATATCTCCAGCCGTTAAACTCCGGCAGCAGCTACAGCGGCTTCAAGAGGAAGTGACCCCAAACACTAACAGTCCCTATCTGACGTACATATGCACCCCTAAACTCTGTAAATGCTCCATGCACACCTCTCAGTGTCATGTTGGGTGGGAGTTTCTTGACCCCGACAGGCAGAATCATCACAAAGAAACCGGCAAGCAAGTAAAACGTTTTTATCACTTAATGAGAGGAACGGGAACAGACGTGCAGGCTGGCAGCAAGGCTCCCGGAGAGGGTTCTGAGGAGGGAGACAGAGTGAGTCTATGGAGGGAAGGACGGAGGATAATCTTTGGAGTGGAGCGTACTGATAGTGGTGAGAGCCTCAGGACGGGCTAGGTCAGGTCCGGGTGAGCAGGAAGGCTCCAGGAGGAGGAGGAACTGTTAGAGAGGAGGTAGGAGCAGAGGCTTGGTGAGGCCAGGGGAGGAGACAGCGTGATCTGGGTTGCAGGAATCCGAGCAGGTATGGAGATGGTGGAGTGTGGAGTGAAACCTGGAGCGGAGCAGGGAAGAGTAGTCAGGGTCTTTTCTGGCGACAGGAAATCCAGCGAATAATTTACAGGATCAGGTAAACAAACTGGAACTGGAAACACAGGACCAGGTCAGAGGCTAGAGCTACCCAAACGGAGCAATCATCCGGCGAAGTGAAGTGTCACACTGCTCCTTAAATCCCCTGGACCGCGATGACAGGATCAGCTGCAGCTGGCTCTCAGACACGCCCACCTGAAACAATGCTCAGAGAAATCAGGTAACAGCAGGAGGCGTGGCGCTAAACCTGTGGGACGCTACTGGCAGATGCTTTCAAACCCACCATTCTTCATTAAAACGACTACACACTGGCCTGTGTTTGATACAGCGCCTTCTGGAGTCCTGGAACCCCCCAAGGCGCTTTACAACACAATCAGTCATTCACCCATTCACACGCTGGTGGGGATGAGCTACCATGTAGCCACAGCTGCCCTGAGGCGAGGCTGCTGTACACAGGCGCCACCGGCCCCTCCAACCACCACTGGCAGGCGACGTGGGTTGTGTCTTGCCCAAGGACACAACAGCAGCAGATGATGTGTCACCTTTGACCTTTAGCCTGGTGCTGACCCACCTGCCCCCACCAGCGGGTCCAGCAGCTAAAGCAGGTCTTCATTAACGCCCCCTTTCTCTACAGACCTCCCCAAGGGAACCACATCAGCTGTTCTGAGTCAGCGCGCGCGGCACCGAGCTGCCCTCTGATTGGCTGCAGACACTCTCCATTCAGCAGCTTCTCCAAACGACGCATGAGCGTGTCCGCGTGAAGCCGCGCGTGCACAGCGGCACCAGATTCGGTTCGACTGAGGTTCCGCTGCAGGTTCTGGGTTTTCTGTTCGGCTCCGGTTCCGCTTCTGGGAGGCACTAATAATCACTGGTCACGCTTTGATTTCCGGAGAGAGCTGCCTTCATCAGGGTGCACGGTGAGCACGCGCACAGACCCGCCCAGCAGAGGTGAGACACGCACACGCATACGCACACACATCTGGATCCAGAAACACTGATTCTATCCGAACCAGGTCAGAAACTGTGCCCAGGTCCTTCAATAACCGGATCATCTGGCTGCTTTACATGGAACAAGCTTCACACGCTGCGCGCGTGTGCGCGCGCGTGATGTCACAGCTTCGAGAACAAGCTGTGATCCGAACCTGATCAGGTGATGAGATCTGATCCACTCGAACCACCAGAACCTCTGAAACACAGAATCCATCCACCTGAACGGAGGTACCAGGCAGAACCAGTACCAGTGGACCTTACTGGGACCGAACCTTCTGGCTAGTCCAGCAGGTCTGACCCGGTCCAGACGCTTTTATTCGCGTCCTTATTTCTAACCTGGAGATTTAGTTCTGTTCAGCCTCTGCCCGTCTCCATGGTAACAGAACACAAGTAACACTTACTGCTTTGTTTATGCGCTGTCAGAACCAGAACCTTGCTGTGAGTTGGATCACTCAACCTTACCATCCAGAACTTCACCTCAGACCAAAATAAATGATTCATCCAGCCTGCTGGTTGTCATGGCAACGCTGCACCTTACAGGAATGAGCATTAGTTAAGTCATCATGTATATGTAGACCATCAACATTATATTTAAACCGTCGGCACACACCTGGTACCTGACTGTACACACCTGGTACCTGACTACACACCTGGGACCTGACTGCACACATCTGGGACCTGACTGTACACACCTGGTACCTGACTGTACACACCTGGTACCTGACTACACACCTGGGACCTGACTGTACACACCTGGTACCTGACTGTACACACCCGGTACCTGACTGTACACACCTGGTACCTGACTGCACACACCTGGTACCTGACTGTACACACCCGGTACCTGACTGTACACACCTGGTACCTGACTGTACACACCTGGTACCTGACTACACACCTGGGACCTGACTGCACACATCTGGGACCTGACTGTACACACCTGGTACCTGACTGTACACACCTGGTACCTGACTACACACCTGGTACCTGACTGTACACACCTGGTACCTGACTGTACACACCCGGTACCTGACTGTACACACCTGGTACCTGACTGCACACACCCGGGACCTGACTGTACACACCCGGGACCTGACTGTACACACCCGGGACCTGACTGTACACACCCGGTACCTGACTGTACACACCCGGTACCTGACTGTACACACCCGGTACCTGACTGTACACACCCGGTACCTGACTGTACACACCTGGTACCTGACTGTACACACCTGGTACCTGACTGTACACACCCGGTACCTGACTGTACACACCCGGTACCTGACTGTACACACCTGGTACCTGACTGTACACACATGGTACCTGACTGTACACACCTGGTACCTGACTGTACACACCCGGTACCTGACTGTACACACACGGTACCTGACTGTACACACATGGTACCTGACTGCACACACCTGGGACCTGACTGTACACACCCGGTACCTGACTGTACACACATGGTACCTGACTGTACACACCCGGTACCTGACTGTACACACCCGGTACCTGACTGTACACACCCGGTACCTGACTGTACACACCTGGTACCTGACTGTACACACCTGGTACCTGACTGTACACACCCGGTACCTGACTGTACACACCCGGTACCTGACTGTACACACCCGGTACCTGACTGTACACACCCGGTACCTGACTGTACACACCCGGTACCTGACTGTACACACCTGGTACCTGACTGTACACACCCGGTACCTGACTGTACACACCCGGTACCTGACTGTACACACCCGGTACCTGACTGTACACACCCGGTACCTGACTGTACACACCTGGTACCTGACTGTACACACCTGGTACCTGACTGTACACACCCGGTACCTGACTGTACACACCCGGTACCTGACTGTACACACCCGGTACCTGACTGTACACACCCGGTACCTGACTGTACACACCCGGTACCTGACTGTACACACCTGGTACCTGACTGTACACACCTGGTACCTGACTGTACACACCTGGTACCTGACTGTACACACCTGGGACGTCAGAAAGGATGAGTTTATTAAAGGGATCAGACGAGTCTTCACAGGCATCCATGTGGATACCGGTCAAGTTCAGAGATGGTCTCAACTGCCTCCTGGAGTCAGGGAGGCACAACCTGCATGTTACAGGAAGTTAATCCAGGGTCATGTGATGAAACACACGGCTACACATCTGAGGCCCCAATGATAACAGGAAGTACGACTGAAACGACGGAGGCCAAAAAAGGCTAAATGACTGCTGCAATCCACCAAACCCCTCTCAGACCCTGCAGCAGCCGGGCCAACAGAAACACTGGCTGGTGACCCCAACCCCAACCCTAGAATAATAATATTAATGCTAATCTGAAGCTAATAGAGCTTTTCCGGGCATTTTTAGAGAAAAATGCGGTTGAGCGAGTCCAAAGTGAAGGCACCTCCAGCCTACTGGGTAACATAAGCCCGATTTCCACTAGTACCTGCTGGGACTGGCACCACTCTAATCTGTGCGATGAGATTGTGTCTCCACTAGTACCTAGTATCAGCTCTAGCTCACACTTTCAGAACCATTCGTCGAGGAGTTCTGTTCGCTCAGAGTAGGTACCATGATGCACGTTTAAAAGGCTGCCGATGACTGAAGCAGAACGTTGAACTTTGCTCCTAGAAGTGTCACCGTGTCCACCATTGTTATTGTTTGCATGTCTGAGTCGCCGACGTATCGCGTTGCACAACACAAGGACCGCCTCCTTATAAATAACTCTGCCCAGAAGCATCTTTTCTCCGTTGCCATGGAAACACAACCCGAGACTAGATTAAACTAGATTAGAGAGGTGTCACGCATGGTGGGTACTAGTGGAACTGAGGCATTATCATAACTAGATACACTGACCAAGGACAGCGGAAGTAGTCAGAAGGTCATCTTCACCAGCATCCTTCTTTCACACGTCTCCTCAACTGAATCCAGCGGGCGGCTCAGAACCGAGCTAGCTTTGTGAACTAGCTTGTTCAGGCTCTTCCTGTCTCGGTCGGAGCTGCCTGCACCCCAACAGACCATCAGAGTGGATCACAGATCCAACCACAGAGTGACAAAAGGGTTTTAGCAGCTGGGAAGTAACTTCAAAGGACCTCAGCCTCCTCAGGAGGTGGATGAGGCTTTGGCCCTTCTTGCACAGCATCTGTGTTGTTGGACCGGTTCCGTTTACTGTTGAGGTGAACATTCAGGCACTTAAATTCAGTTCAAGTTAATTTATAAAGCACCAAATCATGACCGGAGTCGTCTCAAGGACCTTCACATGATAAACATTCCAGCACAGGCCAGGTCATTAAGCCAGTCAGTACAAAGTTTCCTTTATAAGGAGCCCAGCAGGTCACATCGAGTCACTGACTAGTGTCAGAGTCTTTACAGGAATCCTCATACTAAGCAAGCATGCAGCGACAGTGGAGAGGAAAACTCCCTTTTAACAGGAAGAAACCTCCAGAGAATCCTGGCTCAGTATAAGCAGCCATCCAACACACACACACACACACACACACACACACACACACACACACACACACACACACACACACACACACACACACACACACACACACACACACACACACACACACACACACACACACACGCACACACACAGACAAGTAATGTGTCTATAGTTATATTGTGATGTCTTAGTAAATATTCTATTAGGTGAGAGATAAACTTTATTGTATTTATCCTAGTGGATCTATAATTAAACGGGTAAACTAGTAGTAGCACATCCAACGTCAAGGAAAGTAAAAAGTTATTATCAGGAGAGGGAGAATGTTTTAGTGGTTAGCAGCAGTGTGCTAGACGATGGCCCCCTCCATGAGGCCACCACAGCTCAGCAGAACATCGTTGTAGCTTCTTCTGGGGAGAAAAACACTTAGAGAGAAAATAAAGTTAACAGCTGAAATAGCAGGAAATAATACAGTTAAAGAGCAGATTGTAGAAGAAAGCAGTAGAGTGTGGAAAGTGGTCAGTATTGTAATAACTGGACTTGAAGACTCGTAAGGACCCCGAGGCACAGTAAGGCACTTTAAAAGTCTTTATTAACGAAAAGTTAAGGTGCAAGGCAAGGGCAAGGGAGAGTCGTCTTTACCGACTGTACACTCCACCTCCCTCTACTCCCCCACTTGTCCTGATTTAGGCTAACATCAGATTTTAACCATAGGCCCTATCAAATAAAAATGTTTTAAGCCTATTCTTAAAAGTAGACAAGGTGTCTGCCTCACGGACTAAAGCTGGGAGCTGGTTCCACAGGAGAGGAGCCTGATAACTAAAAGATCTGCCTCCCATCCTAATTTTAGATATTCTGGGAACCACCAGTAGACCTGCAGTCTGAGAGCGAAGTGCTCGGTTAGGAACATATGGAACAATCAGATTACTGATGTATGATGGAGCTTGATTATTAAGAGCTTTATATGTGAGAAGAAGGATCTTAAAATCTATTCTGAATTTAACAGGTAGCCAATGTAGGGAAGCTAAGCCAGGAGAGATATGGTCTCTCTTTTTAATTCTCATCAGAACTCTAGCTGCAGCATTTTGGACAAGCTGAAGACTTTTAACTACATTCTGTGGACTTCCTGAGAGTAATGGATTACAGTAATCCAGTCTTGATGTAATAAATGCATGAACTAGTTTTTCAGCATCACTGCTGGAAAGGATGCTTCTAATCTTAGCAATATTCCGAAGGTGGAAAAAGGAAATCCTACAAACCTGTTTAACCTGGGATTTGAATGACATGTCCTGGTCGAAGGTGTCCACCACCTCAGTGTCTGCTCCCTGGATGTTTACCGGTGAGTGAGGAGTGTTTCTCTGGATGTCAGTCACCATTTCCTTTGTGTTACTGGTGTTCAAGCGAAGGTGGTTACGCTCACACCAGTCCACAGTGACTGACCTGTACTCCAGGTCATTCCCCTCAGACACACAGCTGACAACGGCCGAGTCATCAGAGAACCTCTGTCTAGTCTAGATCAGTCATTTCCTCTGATGTTTGACAGATTTCTTTATATTAAAGAACCGAGCAGAACTGCTGACCGTAGGATGGCTTCACCTCGACTCACAGCCACCTTTTCTAAAGCTCAGGTGGCGGACAGCGTCACACACTGCAGCGTCCTCCCTGTTGTCCTTGCTACTGAGATGTAGAGCAGCCAACAGAAGTAGCATGAATGTGTAGGCGCTCCACTTGTCTAGCAACGGATGATCCTGCAGGAACAACACTTGAATCCTGATGGGGCAGGTGGTACTTTTGTTGTGTTTTACATCTTGTTTTTCTTTATTTTCGAGTTGAGCAGCGCCTCGCCTGGAAAACAGACGAGAGCAGACGGGCGCAGCAGGGGGCGTGGCCGAAAGCCGGCGTTTAAGTCGGACACATTTCCCTACATGTGTAGCTCGTGGGTGACGATGGATGAAGATATCGCGTTAGAGTTCATACTTGTTTAAGGTTTTATGTTAATTCTGGTGCATTAGAAACACATCCTCACGTGCTTGTGGATATCATATATTGTATATGAAGACATGACTGTAATAATAAGTAAAGGTTAGCAGCTGTAGCTTCAGTGTGCTCATAGGAAACGTGACAGAAGAACACAAAACACATTTCTCTTCATGGCCTATATAGTTGTCATCATCAACATAACATGATTTACAGAATACATGTGACCAACTAACATTTCATGTTCTACCACCGGATGTTTGGATCAGAATATGAACCAATCAGATTTTAGATCAGGTGAGAGCCAGGTGTTTCCCGTCATCCCCTAGGTTTTGCAGCCAGACGGTGGAGAGCAACTGCAGCGCCTTGCTCCAAAATCTGCGGCCGCCTTGATCTCACGAGGTTATCGTTGCCTACGTAGGCATGATGTCAGAGCAAGTCTGCATCAAGTCGGACACAAATCTAACCGGCATGCACCGCTCGCCGTTCACCGCTGGTCTAACCTGTGCAGAACTGGCTCATCTGGAACACAGTCACTGTCTGCTGTTAGCAGGACAGCCAGTTTGCTGCTAAATGAAACAGCCAATCGTAGCAGAGCCTTTCTAGCCAATCAGAGGAGAGAAAGGTGGGATCTTCCTTGGATATCCTAGGATTCAAAATGACGTAAAAACAATGACTATTGAATGTTGAAACTGTATGTGGATCCAGTGGAACGTTAAACGTCCGTGCAGGTCACAACCAAAGTGTTCTGAGCTAACGTTCCTACGCTGCGTCTGTTTACGTCCGCAGCGTTTCAAACCACGGCTTGGCCCGTTGTAATGGCAGTAGTACAGAAATGGAGCTGTGAAGCTAAACATGATCAAAAGTGATGATGTCATTAAACTGTTGCATTCTGGGAAATGTAGTAGGTGTGGTTTTGTTATAGAGGATTTTGGCCAATAGCGTAGCCATGGGGACTGAAAATGCTAACGTACGTAAAAGCACACTTCCCCTGACTGGGTTTGGTGTACGATATGTGGGGGTGCACGCCTTCATCACAGCTGTATTAATGTTTGTGTCACGAAGTGGAAAAGTTTAGGCTTCAGTTTAATTTGCATGATTTGTGGTTTACCATTGTTGACAGGCTTATGTTGTGTTTTGGATGGTCTTTCCCCTTGTGGTACCTCCCAGAGACACTCTGGATATACATCTATCCATCCATCTATCCATCTATCCATCCATCCATCTATATACACATCTATATGTCTCTATGTATGTATATAGATATAGATATATCTATATCTATTTGTATGTATATAGATATAGATATATGTATGTCTATATCTATATACATACATATAAATATAGATATATGTATATCTACATAGACATAGATGTATTGACATATAGATATATATCTAAGTTCTTTATCTCCATGTTTTTCACATAAGGATTATTATTTCAGGTGTATGGTTATTTAATAGCCGATAAGTCAAGTCAGCTTTATTTATAAAGCGCTTAACAACAGCATACGTAAAAGCTGACCAACGTGCTTAACAAGCCAAAACGAACAGAAGTTTCCCAAAATGCTAAAAATTAGATAAAAAGTTCATCAGAAAGTAAAAACATGACGAAAACAAACATATCAAACTGACATAAAAGCTACTAAAACAGACGCATTCTCAAACGGAATTAAAAGCAGCTGAGAACAGATGAGTCTTTAGGAGGGATTTAAAACCCGACGGTGACGAAACCATCCTAATCTGGATTGGGAGTGCAGTCCACGACCGTGGGGCTGCTACTGAGAAAGCTCCATCACCCCTGAGCTGTCTCTTTGTTCTCAGCACCTCCAGCAGAAACCGGTCGGCTGACCTCAGTGACCGAGACGG